ACCGGTCCTTCCGTGAAGTACATCTATCAGTTTAACAAGAGTCATTTGATCCGGTACTTCCGAGAAGTACACTTCTTCAAACTTAACAAAAGTCAATTTGACCGGTACTCCCGTGAAGTACATCTATCAGTTTTACAAGAGTCAGTCTGACCGGTACTTCCGTGAAGTGCTTGACAGTGACGTTTTCGACGAAGAACACAGTTCGCATGAATTTTAGCCACAAGTTCGGTTTCCCAGCCGTCCATTTTGCCAGTAAGTTCATGATGGTGCTGTGCCCCTTTTCCACTGGAGCGTTAGCCTGAGGATGTGCCCTAGTTGTGTACTTGGCGATTACCCCGAGATCATCCAACAATTCTCTCACCTCCCTGCATGTGAATTCTGACCCTCTATCCATCGTGAATTCCACTACGAAAGGATATCGGAGGTAATATTCTTTGATGCATTCGGCCAAGACCACCCCAGTCTTGGTCCGGATGCCCTTTCCATCAATAAACCCTGTGAGGTTGTCCCTGACATCAAAGATGTAATTATATCCGCCAAGCTTCAGCGACATTGCTAACAAATCCAAGTGGACAACAACCCCCACTTCCTTGATATACCTCGGGTGTAGAGGTTCTTTATATCTGATTGGCGATCTGATCTGGCATGACACGCATGACTCACAGTACTTTCTAACCATCCCGTACATTCTTTCCCAAAAGTAGAGCTCCGTCACTTTCTTGAGGGTAGCGGCAAAACCCCTGTGACCTCCAACTGGTCCATCATGGAGGGCAGCTATGACATCAATCTGTCGATTCCTACCACAGATAACCCTCCTAGGTGGTCCTCTTTTATCCCTGATGAAGAGATGACCACCCCTTACCACATAATGGTCCCTCATGCGGAGAGTTTTCTCACCAACTTCCCTTTCTCGCTTGTCGCCGGAGAGAAGAAGTCTCATTTCCAAATGGAATCCATCGTACTCTTCTTCCCGAAAGTCTTCTGAGATTTCGTCTTGCTCAAACTCCTCTCCCTCCTTTTCCTCATCAAATTCATAGTCATCTCCCAATATTATCTCATCCGCCTTCACCGCCTCTCTCTCTCCTTCGGTCCGGACTTGTAGGAGAGAGTTCACAAGGTAATGTACTCTCCCTACCGTTAGTAAATGTCGATTCACCTGTCCTATTCCTGCCTCAATCGTGACCGGCTCTTCTGTCATTCTGTAACTCTCAGCCAAAGCTAACTCTGCCATCCATTCCTCATTCCTTTCTCCCCCCGGGTTCTCTTCGACGAAAGGCTTTAGTACCAACCTTTCATCCTTCACAAAGGTCGCGGGTGTGAACCACATAGGTCTTCCCTCTCGCACCCCATCATCCTCGACTCTCAAGGCCCACGTGTTGACGTGAAGTTGCATGTCATCCTCTTCCAAGAATCCGTCTACCGGCGGCGTCTCTTCCTTAGCTTCCCCAGGTTGTACCCATTCTATCCTGCTCAACCCATCTGCTTTGTTCTTATTCCCCGGAACGCGCTCCAACTGAAAATCAAACATCGAGATGTAGGTGAGCCATCTAGCAACTGTAGGATCAGCTGGAGAGAAGTTCCTAAGGGAATACATGAGGGTCGTCGGATCTACTCTTAGAATGAATCTTCTCCCAAAGAGATAATGTCTGAAGATCCGTAAACAGTGTAAAACTGCCAAGGCCTCCTTCTTGAATTGAGAGTAATTCCTTTCAGTTGAATTGAGAGTTCGACTCTCGAAGCGCAACGGTCTTTCCTTACCCTCTTGATCCGCCTGTATCAAGACTCCTCCCAAGGCAGTGGGTCTGGCATCGGTTTCTATTATGAAGGGGCGTTCTAAGATCGCCTCGTAGTCCGGAACCCCCAATACCAGGTCTCCTTCCTCAAATTCCTTCTTCAAATCTTTTACCACCTTCTCCTGCTTCTCTCTCCATTCCTGGTTCTTTCTCACTAACTTCCTCACGTGCTCAGTCTTAGCGGCAAACCCTTGATGAATATTCTCCAGAACCCACATGTCCCAAGAAAACATCTCACCTTACGTATATTCTTGAATGGTGTCGGCCACTCAAGAATTTTGTTTGTTTTCTTGGTATCCGAACGGCGACCCCGCTCGTTACACACAAACCCAAGAATGGTCGCCTCTCTCATGCAATGTCTGGATTTAGCGCCACTAGCGTGAGGTTGTGCTCCTGCAGGAGATCGAGCACCTTTCTGAGATCATTAACATCATCCCAGACAAATGTCAGGAGCAACCTCTTGTTCATCTTTTATCATTGGTCCCTTTACTGCTAGATCATCGATATAGGCTCGGTAATCTGCGGACCAATCGGTTGCATCACCCTGACCATACTCCTTTGAACCGTGGCTACACTTGTGCGCTGGATGTGTGTGAGCTGCGCTAGGCTGAAGAGCAGCGCTAAGTGAGAAGGAAGGAAGAATGCTGGCTAGAGGGAAGGCAGCCATAGCTGCGCCAGCAGCAGTTAGTATGTTAGTAGAGATAGTCAGTAGGAGATACCAGTGAGTAGTATTCAGAGTAGATCCTCGTGTGATAGGGAGTGTGCATGCATGATGAGTGAGGGTAGACCAGGACTATAGACATACAGGGAGAGAGAGAAAAAGGCAGATGAGAGAGGGGGAAGTGTGAGTTATGGTGACACTTAACTGTCGAGCGCTGTTGTTGATAATTGGCAGCTGGCGCTGATGAGCGCCAGGTTTGGAATTCATGTTGATTGGAGAAGACTTGTAACTCTGTTTGGCACTGTACATTTGGACTCACGATGTTCCCTCTCTAATCTGGTTTGATTAATTGAGTTGAGCTCCTGGTTCTCATTCATCTCTTATTGGGCTTTGTGTGAGACATCGAAATTTGGAAAATCTGTGTGAATGCATGTGATCTGAAGCACTCCAGCAAGTGTTGAACAGTCGGGTTCCTTGCGCAGCCTCCAAAAACGAGTTCTCCTGAAGGGCCTGCATGAAAGTCAGAATCTGCGGGACTCGCCAAGCAAAGTTGGCCTTGAGTCTGGTGGATGACAATTCATTGAGCTGCTTGTTCGACATCCACACGAGGGTTGTATCATCGGTTTTGACTGCCTGCTCTGTCTGGGTGTAGTCGAAGAGAATGATGGCCAGATTTATCCCTGGAGGGAAGGGATGGTCTGTTCGCAGGACCTATCCCGTGGCTCCTTGATCTGCATTTTCTTTGAGGAGCAGCTTGGCCAGTTGGACCACCTCCGGTTTCCCATAGGTTCCTCTCCACCCTCCGATAGTCAGGCCAACGAAGGCGCTATGTCCCTTGGTCTGCTGTTGACTGCATTCCGCCAGGTGGCCCTTCATTCTCATTCCCAGGTGCCAATGTCCTGTGGGGGGTTCCTTCCTGAGGGGAAGAACGAGTTTGCCCAATAATGGCTCATAGGACCGAGGGTTTGGGCGAGTGGTAGACGGGCGGATGAGGTCTCGTAATTTGCCTCTTGTGGTCGGTCTGGTGATGAGACCCTTCTCGTTTGAGCAGGTCCCTGTGAGGAGGAGCACCGATGTGTTTTGCGGCAGCTGGAGATCTTGTGAAGCCTCTGAATCCCTGCCAGATTCACCTTCGTGAGGAGTAGTGTCCTCCAATGCAGACGAGCGTGATCGTTCTTCTGTTTCTGATAGTAAGTCGATCACCTGGGTGGACAGGACACCATCCTGGGGGGCATCGTTCGACGGTTGCACGGGGACTATGTGCAGCACCGGCTTCAGCAGGTGTGGGGGAAGCTGCGACTCCCATGGGGCCGGGATGGTAGCCAGCGCTGTGCGGCTGTTGTCTGTATGCAGTACGGCAGCCATTTCTTGAACCAAAACATGTGGCCAATGCCGATCCTCGAAGGTGAATGCAGACACTGTATCCCCCGTCTGGGGGACAATCAGGGACCTTTGAGCCTGTGCTCTGGGTACGGTAGACCAGACTTTGTCGATGATTTGTTTTATTGTGAGTATGATTTGCTGGCCGACTCGATGCCAGTCCATCTCATTCGGGGATCTGTAGTTTGTGACCGCCACCCTGATCTGCTTGTTCTTAAGAATGTATTTACGATTTTTTTCCCAGTGCAGCGGGGGGATGCGATCGTAAAGGGAGATGGAGTCAGGTGACAGGATTTTGAGGAGAATCCAATCTACCATCTCCTTCAATTGTTTCTGAACCTTCCTATTGGACCATGTCGAGTGCCTGTTAAGACCGCCATTTTGCTTAGGTGTTTTGTCATTGGGTTTGTGGGGGGGTTGCCGTGCCCCCCGGTCCTTCATCTGACCAGTTGTGTTTGTAGTCTGTGCATCTGCATGCGGTTCAGAATCGTGAATGGTAAGGTCCTCTTGGTGGTCCCTATCTTCGTGCATCTCCTCTAAACCCTCTATCTCCTCTTCCGATGACTCCCCGGTGGTCAGCAAAATATCTCCTTGGTGATCCACCTGCAGGGGGGGGGGGGGGGGGGGGGGGGGGGGGGGGTTGTCTAGTTGTGATTGTGCCTGTTCATCGATCCCCCTGCTGTTGGGGCGGGCGTGTGACCATTGCTGTGCCAGCTCTTGCGCCATGGCCTGTAACTGCATCTCAGCCTGGGCTTGAGCTTCAGCTTGCACTTGCAGGTGGGCTTGCTGCATTTCCAGTGCCCTTGCGTGTTCTTGCTGCAGCACATAATGCTGCTGGTTTGCCAGGATTTGCTCATGAACCTGTTGTTGAGCTAAGGCCTGGGCTTGAGCTTCCGCTTGCGCTTGCAGCTGGCTTGCTGCATTCCCAGCGCCCTTGCCTGTTCTTGCTGCAGCGCGTATTGCTGCCAGTTTGCCAAGATTTGCTCATGAGCCTGTTGTTGAGCTAAGGTTTGAATTGTATGTGCTATGTGATCGGGGCATGACTCCTGTAGGGGCATCCCTATATGTTGTTGGCTCAGTTGAGAGTATTGTTCGCCCTGGGCCAGGGAACAAGATAATTGCGGCTCCAGGAGCTTAGGCTGCTGATATGGGTCATCATTATTTTCAAGCATGAGGTCTCCTTGATAATCTAATCTTTGTTTCTGTTGCTGTTCTTGGAGAGCATCGGACACAGCCCCATGCTGGTCCGGCCCGGGGGGAAGGCCCATCTGTTCCTCTGGTGCACCATGGGGGGAATGTTGTGGCTGGGCATTTGGAGATGCATTGGCTGATGCTGTCTGCAGGTATTGCCCCTGTTGCTCCGGTACCGAGTCTTCCTTTTGTTCCGATTCATCATTCCTTCCCCTTGTGAGATGTGTCGTGGTGTGATCGCTGTATGCTGTGTTGTCCTCCCGAGGGTGGTACTGGTCCGGCGCAGGAGGGAGCCCCATCTATTCCCCCCCAGCACCTTGGGGAAAATGTTGTGACCGGGCATTTGGTGTTGCGTTGGCCGGTGCTGTCTGCAGGTGTTGACCCTGTTGCTCCGGTACCGATTCCGCCTGCTGATTGTGGGAGGCGGGGCCGACACCGGAGAAAGCTCCAGGTGTTGTTGCGAGCTCTCCGGTGGTTGTTGTTCCGAAGGGAGCGGGGGGAGGGCGTCAATGTCGTTATGCTTCTGCAGCATTCCTATATCCCGTGCCTGATTAGGGAGGTGCTGGTGACGGGGTCGGTCATTTGTCTGCACCAGCATATCCTTTAGTCTGCCTAGCCAGTACTCCACATATCCTGCAACCACTTTCACTGGGCCCCCTGTGTCAATTATTGGAGGGCTCAATTTTTGTCCCGTAGTCAGTGGTAACGGTGTAGCAACAGATGGGCAGGGAACTGCCGCTTTCCCTTTCCCCGCCCTTCTGAGCATGGAGAGACGGTTAACGGAGGCCTCAATTCTCAGACCACTTGTCAGGCCATTTATAACAAAACCCAAGGGTCATTTTAACCAAACTTGCCACCAATTCATAGAGTGGAGATCATACTAACCACTTACAAAAACAAAATTGAAAAAAGAACCTAAAACAGCAAGGCAAATGTGTGTTTTCATGCAAAATTCACTCATTTCAGTTTGCGAATGTCCTATGCATATATGCTGAGCAGCAGTTTTTGGTGACTTTGGGAAAGGACGCAAAATACATAAACGGCAGTCGTTTCATTGATGATCTGTTATTAATTGGTTGGTTTGACAGAAAGAAGAAAGAGGGATTGGAGTGCGTTGAGCGCACATTGGACAAAATCATGGGTTGCTACCAAGGACCTTACGTTGGAGAGGACTGACCCAAGAAATGGTATTGCTGAGTATCTGGAAACAAGGTTGATTGTCACTGAATTGCCAGTGTGGATTCACAGCTTCCAGAAGTTCAAAAACTTGGAAGCCATCTGGGAAGGGAGGGCTGGGCGATTCCGAACTTTGAGGAGTTTTGACTCTTATGCCCCCTTGATCCAGAAATTTGGAACAGTGTCAAATGTGATCTGCAGGATCCTTGACAATACAAATACCAAACTCTCACTGTGGTGGAGTCCGGTAACTTTTTTGAAGGAAATGAAGGTGATCGGTTATCCGGAGGAGTTATTCAGAGCCGGGCTGAAGAAGACGAGGGCAAGAAATACCCGACTGGGCGATGATATGGTGACAATGTTGCTGACATGGAAAGAAAATTAAGAACCAAAGGGAGGGGTGAAACAGTTTTCACCTTTGGCAGTAGCCGATCCAGATCCCAGGGGTCGATCCCTTGACCTCAGCTTACCTGTGTACAGTATCTGCACAGTTCCCTGGAATTGAACCCGTGACCTGCATGATAGCCAGTGGTAAGTAGGTCGCCGTAGGTTGTAGGCTGTAGGGAGATTCGAACTGTAGACCTGTAAGGTAGTCCAAGTAGAGTCCAGAGGCCTAGCTGTAGTCCTTCTAGAAGGTCGGCAAGTGGTCAA